TATATATATGTATATATATATATACATCTATATATATATATATAATAGAACAGCAGTACAAATTCTATACTTGAAATACGTATATGTATTTGTACTTGGTTTACGCATGTGTGTTCGCCCGAACTAGATTTAGGAGTCGTGCACATCGGAATGAAAACAGATTGAGGGCCGTAAAAAGGCTATACTTCCTAGGATGCTATCATGATTAGCCCTAATTGAAGTGAATTCATCTTATCCTTCTACAAATGCATATTATCGAGATACATAGTGGGAAACCATAAATATATACTCAAATAGTTTCAACCTGTAGTCAATGGCAGAAAGCCATATTGAACGAACCAGTAGAACGAACGATGCAAAGTACGTGTTCAGAACTATAATGAGTTAGAGGTACTTAAACAAATTGACAAGTATATCGATTGCGTCGTTATATACACATAAAATAATCTTTATACATGATATCTGTTGTCCATACCTTGGGCACCGTGTCCGTCATCTTTATCTCGAGCTTGCTGCGTTCACCTTTTGGGGTACGCAGCGAGGTTCTCTTCATCCTTCAACTCTGATAATGTGCCTGCGAACATGCAACTAACAAAACACGAACCATCCAGGGCAGTCTTCTTACTGCATACCAGATTCAATACTGAACACTTACTACAATTGATGGGAATGCTAGTCCGTAGACCAAGTATAGACCAAGTATATACTCTTATTGAATACACGCAACAACAGGAGGTCCAACAAGAACCTTTGGGGTTCTCTGGTGGTCTTTTTGCCTACTACGAAAAAGCCCGCGATTTTCACATCTCGGCTGCTGATTGGGAGATCTAACTGATATGGAAGGAAATTTTACATCAGGATTTGTTTACACATGTCTGTACCATATAGAATGTCTTTATACGGCACTGGTGAAGATAAAATCATTAACCATCTCAGACCCAGTTTCCTACCAGTCTCATTCTTAGACTTTTTCGAGTTTGATTTGCTTAAATATAGGTGTTTTAATGTAATTAGCGTGATTTGAAGCACTTGTGAGATGGGTTTGTTTTCTGCCGGTTTGTTTGTTAGCTGTCGGCTGAAAGCGCTCGACTTAAATTTTATATACTGTAGCGCGGATACAACCCATTTGTTGCACTTATGTTAGTTCCTTGTCGGTCTTCAGGGCTTGACATATGTTAGCAGTTAGACATATGTATATAGGCGTTCTCTGTCTTAGCTATTGCTTCGGATTCGCCCATGATTTTACAGTTGACATTATTAGTGTCTAACATACGTCGACCTCTCCTCTGAGACCGAAAAAGAACTAATACAACAAGTGCAAAAAATGGGCTAAAATCACGCTATTTACATCTAAAGCAAAGTAAACTCGAAAAAGTAGAAGTATGAGACTGGTAGGAAACTGGGCCTGAAGTGGATAATAGTTTTATTGACACCAGTGCCGTATAAAGAAATTCTACATAAATAGTATGTATTGATGAAAATACGTCCATATATACACAGGTCTACACAAAATATATACATGCATACATATATACAAAATACATACATACATACATACATACATATATACAAAATATATACATACATACATATATACAATATATATATATATATATATATATATATACACACACCACACTATATTATATATATATATATANACACACATATATATAATATATACTATACACACACACAACACACACACACACACACAC